TGATTTTGTCTTGTAATCTTTCATAGACTGCACTAGAATATTCGGGAATGCTTGTTTTTAGCCTTTTAACCCTCCTTACAAACAATTTGTAATTTATATACTCCATCCGTTTCAAAATATAATTTATTTTAAAGATTTTTTTTAGTTACAAAATATAAATTATTTTAAATATTTATTAAATATTATGTGACCACTAATATTTTGCAATCTTTTGTATGATTGGTCAAATTATTTTTATTAAATATATTAAATGATATTTTTAAATAGAAAAATAGTTTTTAATATCCGTATTGTTAGCTAAAACAACTTATATTTTGAAACGGAGAGAATATTATCTTTTTGCTAAACAAATTGTAATTTATATTTTGGACTGAAAGTTACTCAAATTGGATTTTTTTATAAAGTTTATCGAATTGATGAAATATTTAAAAGTCTAAATATGAAATAAGAGAAAGAGACCTAAAATTCTATACATGAATACATAATGGATTTGATCTTGATTCAATCTATTTGGACTCTAAAAATGCTATAGTGAATCATTTTTTTCTCCGAATATATTCTGAATATTTATATATAGCTAAAGGAGGTTTTCTCTTTGCTATGTTTTATCTTTATAGAAATGTGTATATAGTAAATGTTTAGGATAAGGAAATTTGTGGCCTCGTGCTTGTGCATGTAATCATTGTTTCTATTTCTTTTTTGTATCGATATTCTCTCCGCTTCCTCGTGGGTCCCTCAATTTACATAGGGGGGGAATATTAAAAAGCTTGACCAAAAGAAAATTCCATTTTTAAGAAATCGTGGAGAATGGTAAAAATGAGGAATTCTTGGACTCTAGTGATTTATAGGAATTAATACGAAGTTTTAAGGTTATTTTCTTTTTCTTTTTTGATAAAGGCGAAGCCGCGAAGTTTTAAGTATCTATTAAAAAATGATCGTAAACTTTAGAAAAATATTCATGCATGTATACTTTAAGGAAATGACAAAGATATATTTTGATTAATATTTGGAAGAGTAATAAAAATCTATATTTCAATCTCCTCTAAAAAAAATAGACTAAACGATCTGAACTTCAAAACTATAAAAATTTAAAGAAAAACAAAGATCTGTTTGCTATAAAAACTAAAAGAACTTGAAACTCATTTTGGAAAATTTCACCATTTGGTCTTAAACACTCAAAGCATGTTATCTTTGAAAAATTTCAAAAAATGCCATTTTTAAGTGTCATTTTACAAAAATGTCACACTTTTAAAATATTTACAAAAATGTTACTTTTTCAAAATTATTTTTTCTTTATATCATTTATGTTTGGGTTAATTATGTTCTATTAGAGTTTAGTTACGAGGGTTTAGGGAGGTTTTAGGGGTCAAAACATTT